CCGAATTAGTTCCATGTGCATTCCCGGGATGCAAGGTATACTGCACGATAAAGTGCAGAATGCCACATGTAAATCACTTCGATGCAGTTTCTGGCAAACCAATTCTGCCATACAAGTGTTTCACATCACCTGATTTGCGCAGGTAACCTGAAAAGTGATCAGAATTTGTGCGGGCCTGGGATGGTCGTAGCTGATAAATCCCGTCAAGAATAAAACCACTGTACAGTGCTCCTCTTTTTACAGAAAGAAATCTTCATTGGAATTCCCGAAACGACCTTGGGCTGAAAAGATCAGAGGGCTCAGTTGCCCGAAATTGTTTTGCGAGAATCATCAAGAATTCAAATCACCAGGTTGCTTATTGTTGTCGTGAGAGGTCATGAATCACAAGATTTGCTGGTACTCATCCTAGGTTGTCCTGCAGCAACCGTTTAGATTTTGACTTTTTATGCACCAAATTAGTTTTTGTATCTTGGCCTCAGTTGACACTAATAAATTGGCCGCCCTGTGGCAACGAGGTGTTGGGGTCTCGCCGCTTATATTCACGTGCGAGGTGTGGAGATTTGCCTTTGGTCTTTTCTTGGACATTCAGTGATCGCCAGTTGTACCAGATCTATTGATATACGCTTGACGTAAGCGATCGTATCTTGAGCGAGCACATTTGGCAATTTAACCACGTAATGCAATCTCACGTTGTTTTTTGGAAATTGAAGTACATTCGGTTCTGTTTGAATTGCACCACCGAACAATCGTTTCACCTAAAACATCCGTTAAGAAATCTGCTTCATCCTAATACTCTCGGGTTTTCTGAAAAGTCTGGGATAAGTGTGAAATCCCTTTTGACATTATTCACCGGGGGAATATCAGACAAATAGGTATTCATTCGTAACATTATTAAACATCACGTTTACGTTGAGGAGACGCGGTGGCAAGATATTTTCTGTCGATACTTGGAGGCACAAAATGGTGCCGTTTTGTAGGATCATTACTTTGACTGATAGAAACCAGGTATTTTTGGTATCATCGTCTTTCAATTCACTGAGAAGTCGGGCAAGTAAACCCAAATTACTCAGTGAATTGCACCCCAATACAAACCGTAGGGAAGTAGAAACAAAGATGCACAGTAACCAAATAACTAAATATTATGGATCCTTGCAGCGGAAACTCACAGAACAAATTTTTGTCTAAAAAATCTAAGCGTCCGACTCCACGCATTTCCCCTGAATACGTTCGAGGTACATCATCATGACATTAAGGAGGGCTACGGTCATTAAATGCTAGCAGTGAGAATAGTTGACCTGATTTAATTGAGCTTTTGTCCTGAAAGTCAATTTATTCCGAAAGCACTGTACAGCCTTTCTGTCTTCCCCGGTAACCATGTGGATATCGCAAAATTGTGATGGGTTTCAAACTCTATGCCGACTAGCTGACAGGTTGAACTCTTAGCTCTTCCGTCAAGATAGACTAATCAGCGGTGTGATCATGTCTCGCATAGATAGGACACAGCGCAGCTCATCTTTCCTTTAAGGAATCTACATCACGCACTCGGGCTATCAACCGAAAACCTTGCAGGCGTCTTGCTCTTGTGCATAGGTTGGCTTCACATAAGGGATATATCAGTAGTTCAGAAGGAAACATTAGGAAATATAAAGCGCATTTTTGTAGAAATTCGCAGTAAGCCTTTCAACTGAAAATCTGTTCTTCATTAAACTGGACGGATTACGTGAATTTCAGAGCCTTGGACCCATGAAATGGTGGACAGATTTTAAGCGCAGTATTGGAAGTAAGCGTAATACAATGTCCCGTTTTATTGTTAAACTTGATTTTTGGCGGTAGAGGTGCAACGAGATGAAGCCTCTTAAACTCCATAAGTTGTATTGGGTTAGGCAAGCTGCACCACCAGGGAGTGGTCTTTGTGCACGAGGAAGCGAAAGTTCTTGAAATAAAATTAGCATTAACTAGCGCATAGCAGCTGTCAGGAGCATTACAAATTTATGTTGTGGCTACTCCCACTGATTATAGTATTTGCAAAAAGGTATGCGGAATCGTTGTCTAGCTTATAATCACATGCTACTCAGTACTCAAGCAAACTGACCAAATAATGGCTTCGGCTTGCCGTTTATCGAAGAATGTTGATGAAAGCGCGAGGTTATGCTATGTTTAACTATTCATTATGCCAAAGAACTGAGCAACCACTGAAGAGGAAAAATGTTGCGGTGGAACCGTGTTCGAGAAGTTTAGTGACCTTTATGTGGCTTTAGTGGAGAATAGTATGCTGTTTCGTCATTCTATCAGGTGGAAAAATATTTTAACGGCAATGTTGTAGAATATAGGGAGGCTGCTTGGTTGTTGGTCTGTTCGCCGAGCTTTGCAGTTGGATTGCAATCGTTTCATCCTCAGGTGAGGTGACGTCGTCAGTACGTGGTCAAATGGTTGACTTCCTTCTCTTCTGCCTGTGTTTATATAGCTTCTGAACAGCATCTGGTGTAACAGTGGATACTGCTGATGCGACATACGAGTGCTATGTTTTATGGTAGACCCTCTACTCTTCTACTGAAAAGTGAGATTTATTACAGAATTTGTGGAACTGCCCTGTAGGATTTGTTTACATTCGAGTGATAGTCAGTGAATATCCAGGAAATTTTGCGAAAACGCTCAAAAAGAAGACGGAGATTCGGTTTTTATAAACAAAATGTATATGAGAATTTTGCTTCCCTATCTGTTACCTTTCAGTCGGTGTTTTCTAATAAACGATTTCGCAGTGGATGCCTTCCTTTTTATACCTGTAGCTCTGCAGGCGGTCTTTGAATGGTTTGACTGGACCCCTTTGCGTATGAGTTGGTTTCAATCTCTTGCGTCTAATTTGCTCGTTGCACCTATTCAGTTCAACACATCTGAGTGTGATTTTTCTGTAGTGATTCGGTCGTTTTCTTCTTGCTTTGAGATCTAAATTTGTTCCCTTGATTGCCTGCTTCAGTTTTTTTTATGGTTTTATAGTTTTATACTTTTCTTCCCTTGATGCCACTTGTCCACTGTTTGTCTTTATGTTTCTTGGTTTCATATGTGGCTCAGTCTCATGACTGTGTAGTTCTTTTGCTCGTTACGTCCGATCAACGGGGTCATTGCCGATGTGTTTGTTGGTCGACTTTTGTGTGTAGCACCACGCTTAAGCAAACTCTCGCTAACGATTTGTTCCTGCGTGAGCAAATATTTGAGCAATGTCCCAATCAGACTACGCGATGCCGTTTTAGGAGTTTTATGAGCATAGGCAAAATAGAAAGAATTTACCCGCTCAACCCCGCACTGACGATGTCACCTCGATTAGTAGTGAGAGGTTCGCAACCTAGCCGCCAAGCTCCGCTAACAGACCAAAAACCAAATACTTAATGTCAAATCCACTGCAACAGCAGCTACCAAAGTAGCAATTTTTGCATCGCATCGTGAGCAATTATTAAACAAAACAATGTGAAGAACATTCGAGCTGTTGAAGAACATCGAATTTATAAAGTTATATTATGATTGTATCGACAATTGTTATTAAATGTACTTTTGTAACTCACATTGATCGAATCCAGGAACGTGATCTGCATGAGCAAGTAATATGAAAACATTATATCGATGTCCCCTTTTTGGTGAAACCAACTCAATACCACTGAATTTGGCGAAGATGTAATAAGAAAATTTCCCGGAGAGTTTTCCTCTTTTCCTTGTTTCGGTACAGCGATCCCGGGTACCGCGTAAGTGGAAATGGATAACGTTATTGTCAATAAACAAACTAAGGTTGACCACTTATCTACAGGCCTTTGGCTGGAAACAAGACCATACCATGTTTTTTAAGAAGTTCAAGTAGAACATAAGTTTGGCGGAAAATCGGGGACTGCGCCTACCTGATGACCCCCAAGAAGGGTCGTATAAGAGTTTTCAGCAAACTTGTGAGCAGTTTACTTTACGAAAAAGAGATATTTCCTGTCTCCCTTCATTGAAAGGAAAACTTCATTTTTTAATCCGGGCTGGTCTATTACTTTTGCCCAAGAAAGAAAAGATTTAGATTCCCTAGTCCCACTTCTGAGATTTCCGACTCATCACTCAGGTGAAACCAACTGTCACAGATGTCGCAAATCACACTAACAAAGCTTTTTCTAACCTCAGATCACGTAGTATTTGTGAATCATTCAAGATTGAACCTGAGATGTTAGTACCAGTTTGGCCTTCCACTCCTTTTTCTAAGAACTAAAACATCCTCCAAGTGCTTTCCGAATAAATCCACATTGCAGAGAATAAGTCCAATTTCTTCATCGCTAATACTACTTGAGTTCTTTGTGAGTAACTAAGTAACCTCCGACCCGGTTGCTTAGTAGTGTAACTCTTTGAGGCTTGAACTCACCACAAAAAACTACAACCATTTCCACTCACATAAGGCCTACCTTGATATATGTTAATGAGTGAGCCTTACATAGGCCATGCTTGACCTGTACGCATTGAACTAGACCGTATTGTCTTTATAAAGTTCTATCGGTTGTTACGCCACACGTAACTGCAGGGCCTGATCCCACCCGTGAATCTATGCTCTTGACTCTTATCCATATGGACAGGAGACGCAAATTCACCAAAGGCATTTCTAGTTTTGAACCCTTACGGACTGATCAATACAAATATTGAGGGCACCCTGTGGCTTGCCCAGTGCAGAGGCGTCTTATCTAACTCGATTTTAGTCTCATCCGCCTGTGGAAATACTAACAAATCACCTAAACATTTCGAGTGTGCCGCTCAGCTCTATACCACGATTTGCCTAAGGACACATGAATTTAATTGGAACTGGCACAATTGATAAAGTGGGTTCACCTACACTTCGCAAAAAAAGCTTTGCGCAGTTTGCAAATGTTTGTCAGAGCTGACAGTTCATTCTATTGTCCGAATCTACAACTTGCATGTTTCAGTTTACTTATCTAAAACACCGGCGCTCGCTCATGAAAATTGTCTTTACACCACTCTTTGGGAATGGTATGGTATTGTTCGGCTGTAATACAATTCCGGTGCTTAACTGCTATGATATCAGAAGGAAGCACGAGGGCCCAGATATTGCCAGGTTGCCTAGACAGGAGAAATTCAGAGGAGAGGTCAGGTTCGAATCACTGACCTTCCGGTCAGTAAATTCACGCACTGACCACTTGAGCCACACCTATTTTCTGGTGCGGTGTGATCTAGCGATCCCCACACACTATCGTGATACTCATTATATGCCAAATGAGTAAAACATTTAGTGGTAGCAGTTGTCATTCAAGCAGTAAAACTGCAAGCTCTCTGTCGAAGAACCTTTCCACAGTCAGTGTAAGCATTCTTACGGGAAACCATCAAAATTCAAGGTACGTTGCGGCGAGGCTTATTTCCAAATCTTGTGGCCCAGCAGCTTAACTGATTTACACTTCTGACGGCTGGCACCGGTGGATTAATACCTAAGTATGCTTTAGGTCTATTGACGAGTCCAAACACTTGGAAATTGGGGCAGACACTCCAAAATCTGCTAGAGTCAAACATTCAGTAAAAAACGTGATCGTCATGGACTGTTGGAAATCTGCAATCACCACTGCAGTTTGAGTTGCTTCAAAAACAGTCAATGACCGCTTCAGAAAATCACGGTTGTCCTGAAAAGTCTTGAATGTGACCAAATACTGTCCCGTTTTGCAAACGCAGTTGTTTTTTCGCAAATCCCTGAAATGTCCAGCCCAATGACGACGTCAGAACGTCGGTATTTTGGTTGAACTTTCATCCATCGCCCGCGTTCTGGGCAACCGATAATGTATTACCACAAGTCGTACTAAATTATGACAGTCGGATGAACGTTATTCCCTTAATTACCTCTTCCAAGTTAAGGTGTGCCATGCAAGTACATCGAAAAGCGTCTACTAAAGTGCTTGTCGAAAGGCTCGAAGCAAAATAAGCATGCTGAAATGCTTTGCGTGAACTGTGGCCTTATCAGAAGCGAAAATTTTCTGAAGAACAGTACCAATAAAGGGCTGCCTAAGACAAGCAATGGATACTGATTCGTTCATTGGGCGATTAATTGTTTACGATCTAAGCCTAGCGTGGTGCAAGGAGCAACCAGACAAAAGAACCGTTTCTTTTTCAGAAGAAATTAAGACATCACTGAAATTGTCAAACATGAATCAACCTAAGTGCCTGCATCGGACTGCTCCCAGTACCCAAAATCCGACTACTTTCACCCATAACTGATTCTGTGCACATGTTTGATTTTGCATACATTGGTGGGTGTAACTCCTGTATTGGATATCATTTACTTTGGCTTTTTTATACCTGTAATTATCAAATGCTTTTGGAACTAGCAAGCTCATCAGTTCCAAGTTTATACACTTTTTATAAAGCCCAAAACGTACCGAATTCCGTTTCGCCGACCCTTACATCTGTTAAGTTCAAATATTGAGTTCGTATGAGGTATGCGCAATTCTCGGTTATAAAGCCATAAATCAATTTTTACTACAGCGAGTATTGTGGAATGTTTAAACTGAAGCATTTTACAATAAAGTAACATCGAGTATGTTTCTTTATAAATATTCAAAGTTTGCATTCCGATGTAGCCAGATGATCCGGTCATTTTTATTTGTGTGCTTTAGCGTCTTTGTGTTTTTCACAAACTCAGGCATTTTAGCCAATTGAAACCGGCCACCATTAAGTTTGGACATCTTAAGGAGAACATGCGTGCGCAACATGATGTGATCTAATGTACATATAAAATGGTATAAAATATAATATAATAATGTTATATATAAAGCCCTACCACCCTCTAGGTTCCAGTTATCATTGTAAAAACCTCCAGTTGAAAATGAACGTCTTCGATTATTATTCAATTCTATATAGGTTGAGCGCCTTTTGGCAATACGAGAACAGTTTTTTTATGCCACATATTGAACATCGATCTCAATTTTTTGCAAAGTACGAAGAGAGTAATAAGTACTCAACTTTGAGTCATTCATATGTGTGAAAAACTGATGCTAGCTTATACGTAATTTTTCTACCTGCCTAACTTTCTCATGAGTTATTATAACCAGTCCAAGTGGCATGACCCTCATCTCCTAGAACTCGTCTTTCGAGGGGCCGGTCAACACGATACTGCATGCCGTGGGACACATCACTGAAGAACAGGGAGGCTTTTTCCCTTCCATATTTTTTAATCACATTCGCGTGGATGTGTCGGTTGAAATTATTATAATGTGAAGGCCAACAATCAGGATGAACTCGTACAGGCAGTAGTTTGGTGCTTCGGGGCATTAGACATAAACTGAGCTTAATTTGAAAACTGAATGGCTGTTGGAATATCAAACCTTCCTTTTGGCATAACTGGAATCCTTAAACACACCTTTCAGTTACCGATTCACTTGACACAAATATCTATTCTTTGGTTAATTTTACCGTGATGAAAGTGTACGTTGGTGCAAAGTTTAGCACACCCGCCACTCTAGCTGACTTGATTTTTCATCTCTTGATGGATCTCAGCAAAAGCACAATTTTGACCAGACTTCAAAAACAAGCAATGAGGTAATTCGCTCTATCGAGGCTTCCTTGTGTAAAACGTCTTGTTCTCAAGCAGTCTGCTGAACAGCACAAAGGCCTGAATCAACGAAACTCACATAAATGTTCGGTTAATGTGCACGACTTCGCACAGTCTCACTATTACGACCAAACTGTTGTTTTACACAGAATAAACTAGTCATTTACTTAAGCATGGGAACATTCAACAAATAAAAGTGGATTAAACTTTCTTGGACAAAATTTAGTAAAAATTCGATCAACCTGAACAATGTACTTTTTTGAAGCGTTGGGTGTGAATCTATCAGTTAAAGAAGCCCCTTAATGCAGGTGATTGGTAAAAAAAGGATCGGCCGAAGTGACAGCAGAAACAATTTGGTTCGTCAAAACCTGCAGGCTGAGTGAGAGGACGCATGTTACGTGCAATTCATTGACACATTAAACGTGTTTGATGGACATATAAATAAGCAGGACCATACCTTGGAAGGTGGCACTTAAAGTGCTACCTTGAGATGTTAAAAAGTCCGCCACCCTTTTGGCGTGATGCCTCACACAGGACATGTCGCAGGTTGTAAAGTCTGAATTATGAACAGCAAACCGCATCTCAAGTTTTGTACTGCCGGGGATTTCCTTTACGCTCATCAAAGCATTCGTGAATGGAGACCTGGACTTGAGGACTCCTTCAATCTGCAAACGGTTTCAGAGTGCGCAAGAAAATTAATAACACAGCCATGCACATTTATTTTGGTTCTGATGCATTAAAGTTAGCCTGGCAGAACTCAACAAATAAAGGTTTCCAGGCCTACGCATGATATTGCACTCTGATGACGACAATGTTTGCTGGCGTGATGAATTGAAACGAAAATTCTGAGAAGTATGTGATGACTACCAAATTTCCAGTCGTGAAAAATATGAAACGCAATTTGATTTAGTCCAACTTAGGGAATGTCGAAATATAATATTTCGTTTTTCCTGGTAGTTTTAATTATGACCATATTTCGCATTAACACGAGTGGCTTAGTGGCTTAAGCCAAGCGCTGTCTACGGCAACCAAAGAAGAAATTTTAGCCAACGCAGTAGGTACTACGTGGCAGTATAAGATTAATTCCGAAACACTTCGAAATGGCATGATTTCATAATGCTCGGAAAATTTAACAAGTATACAAAGATAAACTATTCATACAAAGGCCAGCATTCGCAGCTCCTTAAGGTCAGGCAAGCTCCATTTAGGCAGTCCGGTCAAACCCAAATAATTGCGTACAAAATTTGTTCTTCCTTAGCGACTGAACCAAACGTTTTCCGCTGCAGCGTATTTGAGAGCATTACTGCAAACGAAAGGCCACCGGCATTTGAGTACTTGCACAGTTGAAGCTAGTGAAACTGTGCCAGTTAGACTTCAACCCAAATATCGGAGTAAACCGCTGTTTTAAGCAAAAAACTGAAAACATCAAAAGAACGGCTTATGCTTATTTTTTTGAACATGTAGTGTTTTCCTCAGGAGCTATAGTTTTCAAATTTTCCCTCAACGAGTCCACCAATGACAGTATGAATTTGCCGTAAAAATAAATTCACCAATGACCAATCGCAAAATCGCTCTGTCAATTTGCGTCGGTCAAAGCAGGTAGCTTTGCTGCTGCTGGGTAGATGCAACCATCTGTGATGTATAATTACAAATGCAATGATATAATTTACTACTTGATTATTTAATTCTTTGCTGGGCTTATGGAAGTAACAGTTGAGAGTATTGATTCAAACCCACTATACAATTTATTCAAAGTCCCATACGCGATATATATTATTATATTACATGGGGATCGGTAGGTTTATAAAAAACAATGGGAAGTTGTTTGTCACAGCCGACTCCTACCAGTTTGCCAAAAAAACTATATTTAGCCGGCCATTCAGTATAACCCGAAACTGCTAAGACCACCGACTCTCTCTGTATGCAGCACCAGTATCGGACAGTGCTCCGGTAACAAGGTGCCTGATTTTTCCGAAATTTTGTTTGAAGAATGCAGAGCAGACTAAAAAATACTTTCTCACGATATACAGAGTTTATTGTGACGTACCCGTTCTGCCTCTGTTCCTTCTGAAGGCCATCCCCACGACTCCAAAATCGCAGCCCATGTTGTCTTTTTTCCTGGGGATACAGTGAAAACTGAACACAGAAAAGATGGTTGAAAGTATACCAGCATTTGGCGGTAATGTTTTCAGGATAACGATTATGCAATTTGTACTCCCCACCTTTCCCATCCAGACGGCATATAATCATTTTCACAGACATGAACTATCACAATAAGCTGCATGTGTCCTGCGTTTGAAGGCCTACCGCGTCTAGCATATCAAGCCTCAGTGTTATGAATGAGCTCGGGGGTTAGATGACCTTGAAAAGTTGAGAAAGTCTGAGAAGTTCGAAGACGATCCGAGTACCGGGTGCGGCTCATTGAGTACAGTGCCTAACCTACTGTGTAGTACAGCCGGAGACAGGGACTGTTTGAACAATTTATATGGGGTTTTGAACACATGAAAGTTTAAACATTTCTTTCGGTACATCCTTTATAGATTCGGTTCACTAAATTTGAACACATCACATTTTAGTGACCGATAAACGTAAAATTGGAAACCGGTAGCGGTCTATTTTTCAGATGAATGTATATAACAATCCCATGGTAATAATAATGATGATAATCGTTCAGCTAGCTGGCATACCATCCGAAGGAAGCACGAAGGCTGGTGTACTGCTCAGTGGTCTAAGCCTAGAATGGGGAGGTCGAGAGGCAGAGGTCGGGTTTGAACCGCGGACCTTTTGGTAAGCAAATTCACGCTCCAACCACTGAGCCATCTCACCCCTGCTCCTTTATTGGGTTTGGAAGTTTTTTATGTCATTCTGCGCAGTTTTATCTAGTCAGTAGGATTTGAACGCTAGAAAGTTTCGGAAAAGCTGACTAATTTTCCTTCGACAATCTGCATCTGCCATCCATCAAACTTGAATGTATTCGCAGCCACACAGATCTATCTATCTGATTTCTGTTCTGCGAGTGACTCTTCACTTATAAAGTCTCGTCAGACAAGTTTTATTTGCGCGTATCCAGGAGCCGCAAATCGATTATTTTGGTCTTAATACTACCCAGTCTGATTGGATTGATATTTTTGAGGACAAAGAACAGATATCCCAAGCTTGACAATGCAGGTATGCATGGCATCTTATCGTGTAGAATCTGACGACAGTGTGCTTCGAATAATTTCAGTGATTTAACCAGTTTAAAGCTGTTAGATGGCTAACCTTTGTCAAATAATTTGGAAAGCTATTTGTTAGTATTAGGTCTGCCCATCTAAGAACACTGCTTTGTCGGAGATTTATCATATTACGAATTGAGCAGATATGGTACTTGGAACCCAGACCCAGAAGCCACCCTTGATATGGGATTTATTCGTTGTTCCCCAAATAAATGACCACTAAGTTTCACAAGGTAAACCTTTTTAAAGTACGTTATTTTCTACTGTGTGGCGATTTTTCGTGGCTATTCTAATAGACGTTACCTCAAGGTTTTTTGGACATGTAAATCACGGTGGACGGAATAACATACTCCTCCTTATTAGTGGGTTTTTACTCAGAATCCTTTTATGTTAGAATGTGATTAAATCTGCGGTAACCCATACTCCGGTCTACTAAATACTTTTAAGTAAACGTATAGACATATACTCATCTATCTGGCCTACAGCCAAAGTTACATAATCAGCTGGCTTTCCAATATTTGTCTCTGGTTCACAAAATGAATTTTTCCAAAAGTGTGGAGACATAAAATACATGAAAAGTATGCTCAAAATGTTCGCATTACGCGAGTGATAAATTGTCCTGACAAACCGAAAAGCGGTCACCAAATGTAATTGGCGTTTGAACGATTCAGGTTCAAAGAAAACCAACGAAGAGCAGCTTAACAAACGTTTTGCCTAACCATATGAAATCGATTCTTGTTCATAGTCTTCTGTGGGTGATGCTAGGTGACTATCGATTCACTTTCATTTCCAAATTCTAGTTGCCGAAGCCTACACTTTCGCCAATTTTTGATTAGCCCATATGGTTCGCAAAAGTATTTCTCCCGTCGCAGTTAATTCAGAATTGAACAAAAAACATCCTCCACAATAAAACAATTTTGAGCTAAACAGACTTCTACGTTTGGTTTGTAAAACTTCTGAAGAACTTGCCGACGGTGTCCGTTATCGCCAAGGCTGAAAAATGGATGAAGCGTGATAAACGACTATACCGAAAAAATATTCTGCTCACGAAAGAACTTGAAACGGGAAAGGGTTGTATCCTGATTATTTTGTTGCCAGGACAACACAATCATCTCACTTGTTTAAGAATAAGATGGTGTAAACCAAGAAACATGGTCCTTCGAGAAGACCACTGCTGCCTATCGGATTTGCTCGTCGTGGCCCAATATGCAGGTTGCTAGGCTGGATCATAAAAAACGGTACCATTTAAGAATGAAAGTTGCATCACAACACGCACATGTTACATCTTCGGGTGCATCGACTAGTGTCACACATGAAAATCCGTCTCCTCAGACGGTGGTGTGCAACGTCGGATGCGTCCGCGAGGCCGATCCATCTGCTTCCGGTTTTCAATTCAGTTAAACAAATGAGTCATCAATAATTTCTTGAAATTCCGTTCACCACCGATTACCTGCACTACAGGTAATGAGTATTCCTGTGCAAATATTTAGGTAGAAATCGTTACCTCCATGCAGAGTTTCAAACCGGCTTGAGACAAAGTGATCAGAAGATTGTAAAACCTCGTGGCTGATCAGAACTAGGCTGGCGATTACAAGGTCAAAGGGCAATTTGCCTTCACGAGAAATGAAACAGAAAACTTAAGATTTACGGTGTACACAATAGGAATATAATAAAGAAATGTATACCGCCACGAAATGCCAGCATATATTTCTTTAACCTGCTAATTTAATCCACTGCGTGCAAGAAATGGGATTATTGAGATCGGTTCAGCCGCTCTAGTCAAAAAATCATGCGCCTAGTGTGGGTGAGTAACTCGTCTTCAGAACAGTCCAGCAGGAAGATGTTAATTGTACATAACAATACCAGATTAAGTGCTTCTTAGGGACTCCCGGTCGCTCAGCCGTTTGACCTCTACCATGACGCTTTTTTCCAATTGGATTTTTGCTGCTGAAACCTCGATTTCGCATCCATTTTTTATCTGTAAAAGCGGAATGTACTTTTTTAATCATCAGGCCCAAAAGGTATTGGCTAACATTCATCCCCGTCTTCAATATCGGGCATATTTGTCGCCTGATAAACCAGGCTATCCCTAAAATAATAACAGGTGACTTGATGTCATCATCTCTCTCATCTCTCTCGTAACCAAGTTCATTCAGATGGTTATTTAAGATACGTTCAAAGACAGTGAGGAAAGTGGTCGAAGATTATTCAGTCAGTACGTGCTCGATGGATAACTTGCTAAGCACTGAACGCTCCTATATCCCTCCGCGGGGATATGGGGTGGACTCAAGTCTTATTTGATCACATCTTGGCTCCTGGTAAGTTGGTTTCTTGGTCATTGTATATTTTCTTCGGTGAACTACAGTGTCTAATAAGACGGGAAGCTGCCAATATGAAAAAGGCGATCAGTGAGAAGCGAGCAATCCATATCTCTTCCTTGAATATTTTCGTCGAGTAAGAAGAAGGACCTAAACATTCTACTCGGTTGGCAGCAAACGCGTGACAATATTTGACACTGCTGGCGATTAAGGACGCTGTCAACTATTCTGCTGCCTTTATCGACCTTACAAGTCAAATATCTACGCACGAGGCTTTTAACTGCGACTGCCCCTTTAACAATTCAAAACTGTAGATGCATAACGGCCGTAAGACCAATGATGATGTCTACTCAAACAATGTGCCACAGATAATCGACAGGGAAGTACATTTGGGCATCTAGAGGGTTGGGGAATCAACAGTCGGTCAAGATGAATTGGAGAATGTTTACGTAACGAGTCGATCAGGTTCACATTTTGGGTCTAATCAAAAAGTAATCCTCCGGTGATTGTCGTTGTATCTTTTGCAGTATTGAGTATTCTGCTACTCCTTATTCATCAAGCCGCGGAGCACCACCAGTGAGCAGAACGTATGCTTCTACTTTCGCTTCGGGGAAAATAGAATGGAAGGAGAGTAGTTCTCAAGTGTTAATTCTTCAACAACTGTAGTATTCAGAGCGTTAAACTCCCTAACTTCTCCTTCATCTATGTTCACTACAAGGCATTTAACCTTTATTCACGGCCACGTGAGTTCGGGGTTTCGTGTAACGGCTGGGTAATGGAGCCGAACCTCTAGAAAGTCCCGAAGCTACCGCTATCACTTCTAATGCGTGATCCTCTGTCTAACATGTGCCTTCACTGCAACACTTCAGTATTCTTGCGTGTAGAGTCTCAACTATTAGCAACATAAGTCTTATTATTTGGGCTTTCTGTTATATACCTAATAAAGGGCGACCGTTGAATATGTCCACATTAATTGGCGCATTGACACTACGGACAGGATAGAAGCTTGCAATTCCAAGAACTCTGTACACAACATCCATGAGCAACAGGTTCTTAGACACTAAAAAATATGTGCAGCGGGACGTACATCAATAGGCAAGATTCACCTAGGTATTTCCAACGACTCAACTTTTTGCTACATGCCGACACTCCTACATATCCACCATAGCTGCTCCTATGAGTTTGTTCGAATCACATTTCTTCTCGCACAGTCGTTTTACCAATCGCCTGGGTTGAAGTAGAAACGGAGCAACGGATCCGAGAGGCGATAGACATCTATGACATGTATGACATATATATGACATATGTATGACGGAATTGGTCACTGAGTCTGCTGGTAAATTTACTTTGAACAGAAAGCAGTCGGCTTTGCTAGACTAGCACAGACCCAATGTCTTGTGTAAACCCTAGTCTGAAATGTTGAAATCAAACAGGTCACTCGTAGGGATACTATTCAAGACTACCGGACCTTTGGTTACCAACTTATGAAAACAAAATCCACCCAGGTTCGACGTCAAGCTAAGTTTCCAAATAAGTGTTTTTGCTCGGCCGACAGATTCTACTGATGCAAGACAATCATTGACGCAAAAGAAGTGCTTCGCTGCTGAAACCATCACTTTGTCGAAGACATTTCGGCTGTCACGAGCAACACTGTGTGGAGTAAATGCAGCGCAAAAATGGAGAAAAATGGCTCAAAACATGTGTATGTTGAGGTGATAGAGTTCTTGGAGTTTCTTCAGATCTCCGCCGGTGTACCGTAGAACTTGGGACGCTGCATCTCTGCCAGAGGTGAGCGTATTTATGAAAATTTCCATTCTATATCTTCGCAGCAGTAAACGAAGTCAAACGCCTGTGGTGTCATTTGTAAGGTCAGGTATAGAAAACAAACAATCATTAAGAAGCCTTGAGCGTTTTCAGTAGAAAAGTATACGAACCTTTCCATGTTTTAAATATGGTGATGCAAAATGAGACGGGTGACCCCTGCTGAAGAGAACTGGCGGCTGACTTACACACCTTTTTTCCCAAGTCAATAGAATCTCACTTTAGTATCAAAGAAGGTTTTCATTCCTTTTCACGTGACCCTCCACATAACTAGGGCGTTCTCTCGCTACATACTGGTCACTTAGTGGTCGGATTTTCAAAGCAGCGTCACCTGATAATGGCCGTCCACCGATTTAGTGGACTGCTCTGTGGGTTTCATAACACCCTTTTTCATAGGACAGTGGTTCATCTGAGCCTTTATTTTCATTGTA